TGTTTTCTTACATCATAATGATTGTATATTATACATAGTTTAGTATTATTCAGTAAGTTATATCATTAAATTGACTTCAATTATCCATATTCATATTTACATATAGTAGTCATATTTATTTTGTGGTTATTATAAAAGTCGTGAGTAGTGGAGTTCAACCAAGTCTGTTGTGAAATAGTAATTCACTGAAGACAAAATGGTAGGTGATGGCACAATTTTGTGGATTAGTTGAAGTTAGACATTAACACCGTTGGATACTGGCTCAATGGTTTAGAGGTTAAGTGTTCTTGCGCGAAATCGACAGGTCATGGGGTTAGAGTCCCTCGAGCGGGATCGTGGATGCGCACCGCAAAGGAGTCCCGCACTAGGATGAAACGGCCGTCCAGTGCTTCCAGGTTTTCCATGGTGGTCTAGCTTCAATTGACTCATGAATTCAACTATTAAGTCATTTATTAGTTTAAGGCAAATGTGTACATAATCATCTCTCTGTTGTATGGATGTAGTATGTACGTGGACATTTTCTGGGTCTTTTTAGCGTCGCTCAAAGGTCATCCATAAATTATAGTCTCACCAAAATGTTATTAAACAATTGAAAGATCATTTATCATTGTATTTTATAGAAAAAAACTATACTGATTAAGTCATAAGATAAGTTATTCACAGGATGAAAACTTTTCAGTGAGTTTATTTTTAAGAACTGTACAATATTAGACCCAGCGAGATTCGAACCCAGGACTTATCAGTCTCGCGCGCTAGTGCCTAACCACTAGACCACTAAGCCGACATTCAACGGTGTTATTGTCTAACTTCAACTAATCCACGAAATTAAGTAACCATTCACCAATGTCTTCAGTGAGTTAAAAATCTCCCAACAGACTTAGTTAAACTCCACTGGAGATTTCAACTATATAAAATTACTAAAATCTCCACAAAACCCCCTTTTCACAATCGGATTTTAAAAAAGAATTTTAATGTAAATTAGTGAACAACCAAAATATTACGTATTCAGTTTTTAATCGTTATTTTGATGTAGAAGCTTTAATGATGCCATCTAACGTTTACAAGTCAAAAGTAGATATGATAAAGTTTCAACTTGTGACTTTCTATGATCGAATTAATTAAAACATTTTGATCGAGTTATGTTAACTAACTACCTTTAAGGATTCTCTAATTATGTAATGTTCTTACTAATTTTGATGATCCTTTTGTTTTCAAATAATTTTCAAGGACTGACATCATTTGATGAATTGGCTAAAATTCAAATTTACCAGAGATTATTTTTATGTTGTTCAATGTAGACTTTCAATTCTTCATGAAATTCAATCAGAAATCACTATATTTTCTCAGAGATCATGTTACTGTTGAATAAAATAATCGAAATATTTAAGCTTGAATGAATTCAGAATTTGAATTGAAACAAAAAAGTATTCAGTAATTTAGTAGATTTATCTCGGGAGTCTCATCGGCCCTTGTGGTCTGGTGTGTGATGAAATCTCAGCACAGATACAGAAGGCTCGACTAGCTTTCACCAACTTGCGTCGTTTATGACGTAGAAGAGATATCCGTCTAGCAACAAAAGGACGGACTTACTGTGCAGTAGTTCGTTTCGTCCTACTTTATGACACTGAAACATGACCGATAAGAGTAGAGGATATTCGTAGGTTGCTAGTTTTCGATCATAGGTGTCTTCGTAGCATTGCTCGTATACTCTGGGACCATCGAGTAGTGCAATTGTTAGGAAACGGGTATTAGGTAAGGATGTCAAATAGATTGATGAAGTAGTGAAATTTCATCAGTTGAGATGACTGGGACACGTGGTACGTATGCTCAACCACCAATACATAGTTTTAAAAGTGTTTCCACAACGTTATTTAATCGAAATTTCATAATGTTTTCACATAGAAAAGATTATGAAAACTAGGAGAAATAGTTTATGAAATTGTTTACCACTTAGTAACTAACTGAAATACAACCTACTAAACTGCTTATAAATTGTGTAGCGCATATATATCTGGTGCCCCCTTGTACCAATATTTATGTGTTTAAATAAATAAATAAACTCATGTTTCTATGGCAAAAATACTTTGATAAATATTCATCATAAATTTTGAGAATAAACAGCTTTAAATGATGTAAAACTATTGAATTTGTTTAAATCTATTTCATTCTTTGAACGAGCAATTTAAGTGTTATTTGTACTTATTGACAGAGTATAAGAGATCATTGGCGGCCTGCTTAAACATCTGGGATACCTGTTCCTGTCATTTAGATATTTCAACAAGTTATCTAATTTTGTTTTGTTTTAATACATCATTATGGTCATTAATTGCGCTACCTATCTAGGTGCGTTTATGAAAAATGTACAACCTTTCTCTGTAAAGGTTACAAAAGGCCTAATCAGAGATAACGTGGTTGCTAGTAATATGTAGCGAAACGAACGTGGATTATACAGATGTCGATTGACTGGACTGTTAACTTCTAACTGGAGATCATTCAATATTTATCATCAGGATCGAGGAAGAACTAAGAAATAGAAACCTGCTGAAATACTTTGTACTGAGAATTCTATATTGTACCGAAGATATAATATTCAATAAAGCTAATAATAATAATAAGTAGTTGAAGATCATTCTCCACATCCTCTAAGTTCGTTAGGATAATATAAGGTTATTCAATAGATGTTCGGGATACATTGTATTCACAAATGCTTATTTCAGATCTAAATCAGCTATAAACAAACGATATGACACAAATATATATCATTCCGAATTGTCACATTTGAAGTAAGTACAATAATAGATAACAGGAAAATGTTGAAAGTAAAATATTTGAATATAGTTTGAGAAAAAAACAAGTGATAAATGATATAATGATAATTTCAATAGTTGAAATCATGAGTCAATTGAAGCTAGACTACCATGGAAAACCTGGAAGCACTGGACGGCAGTTTCGTTCTATTGTGCTGGCTCAGTGTTTCTAGAGGTTAAGCGCTCGCGCGCGAGACTGATAGGTCCTGGGTTCAAATCTCGCGAGGCGGGATCGTGGATGCGCACTACTGAGGAGTCCCACAATAGGACGATTTGTTCGTTTAGTGCTTCCATGTTTTCTATGGTGGTATATCTTCAAGTGACTCATGATCTCAACCATTGAAATTATAATGATATCCACAAAACCCCTTCTGATATAATAGTAGTAATAATTAAACAAATTTGACAATTAAAGATAAATGAGAAAATAATTGTTTAGAAACCATTTCAAATAATGTCGCCAAATTTAAATTTAAATAAATGTAGTAATAGTGTACAGTAGTAACACGATCAATAAGAATAAATACAAATTGTTTAATTTTGTGACCTTTCATTCTAACTTGTTCAGTAATAAGTTTCAAGTTTCATAATAAGGATGTGAATATTGTTGACTATCGTTGTAATCATGAGCAGACCAATGTTAGTCCATCATTGAAAACTTGGAAGCACTGAATGGTCATTTCATTCAAATATGAGAATCCTTAACAATGGGCATTCTTGATCACGCAAGCGGGAGTTGAACCCAACACCTCTCTCGGATGCAAACACTTAACCTGTAGACCACTGAGCTGGCATCCAAGTGTTCATGTCTAAGTTCAAGCAATCCACAATATTACGTGACCATCTTCCATTATTCTCTTGATTTCGAATTCCAGTATTTCTCTTTGCACAATCTTCCACATTACCTTTTCAAATCATATTCCAAATTTTTAGTTTTTTTATCATTGCTACTCTCTTATTTCAGTCCCTCTTGCTATTCATTTTGTCAATTCCATTCGGTTGTGTAAATATGGTATAATGGCTTGGTTCAATACACATGTGTGAGGCTCTACAATGATGATGACTGACTAACTGATGTAAACTTTTGAGAAATAAGGTGCTATTCGGAAAGAATTTAAGTAATTTTGATTATTAGGTTTTTATATCTCCCAATCATTAAAGTTTCATGCTTAATCATATTTTTTAAACCACTTTGTTCTTTAGTGAAGTTGAGTTATTGCTAACAATACAATCTAGGACACCTATTTTGTTTTATGTAGGACTTGTCGTCTAAATGCACCTATAACTCAGTGTTAATGTTCACATCGGGACTCGAATACAACACTTTTTACTTCAGACTACCAAATTGTTGTTCATTGAGCTACTAAATTCAGATAACAATTAGCTTGAGGAACAGGCATGATGTCTAAATTCTTTTTAGTAGTGATTTGAATTATCTTATTGTTGATGTTTCAGCTGACGAAGCCTGAATAAGATTAAAAGCGAGTCCTGATTTCCAATGTTACTCATAATTCATTCATTTAATAACAATTTACTTAATTTGAAGGTAGTCTTTTTAAAATCATGAACTGATATCGGTTGGATTACCGTCTTCGTTCATAGTTACTCATTTTTACTCACTCGCTAAATTACACAAGATTCAGCCTAGGAAATTTTAATATTGTAGTGACCTCATCAGTTCTTAGTGAAAATTACTCCAATAACTGTTAAGTATAATATATAATAGCTCCCAAATGCCCTGGTATGGCAGAGAATGAAGAGAGTTCGTTATCCTTCTCTAAATGCTCTCACATCGCCACGCGTATATAGCCTCTGTCAAGGAATTCCTTCTCACTACCTACCTTCTCATTGGATTACGTTGTTTAGAAATTGAAAGGACGAAAAGCTAATGTCCGGTGCTTTAAGCGGGTTGGTGGACACAGAAAGTCCATCTAGGGGAGTTGGAAAACCCTCATTCCAAACCAATGGTGCACATCGGCTCCAGGTGTGGCTCCGTATGAAAATCACCTGCTTCAGTTTGGACACCCGGGCAGTATCACAGCCCTCACACAAATCAAATAAGATTTGTGCGGCCCATGTGTATCTGATGCTTCCTTGTACCAATATTTATGTGCTTAAATAAATGAATAAACATAACAATAATAATAGTGCGTTTTATAACTCCTTATTCATTTTTTTCTTTTTGTATTATAGATTCCTTTACTAAATCTGCTATTTCAATGGAAATACAATGTATTTCAAAAAATAAACTTAAAGCAAATGGTTGGTCTACTAAAACCTGTCATTATCCTTATTTGGATTTGGATTCAATAAATTATCATTGTAATCTAGAACAAGAAACTTCGCAATACAATCTGTTGAATACAAATGGTATTCATCAGAATAGTGATGATATTTCTACAATCTTAACTAATCATTCCTATATAAAAAGTAATCTATCACCAATAAATGATTCATGCATATCGAATGAAATATCACCTACACAAAATAGTAATCATAGTAACAATAACAAAAATGATGATAATGAGGACGATGACGATGATGATGTTGGTGATGTTGATCAATACTTACCGTCAATAATAGATAAACAAAAATCATTATTTGTCAGTATTGGTGTACAAACTGATGATCAGCTCATTTTAAAGTGTTGCAATAAAGAAATATTATCAAATGACAATTTATCTAATATTTCTTATTTCTGTGATAAAAATGATACCAATATTACTTATAATGATACTACTACTAATAATAATGTAGAGAGTTTGATTGATGCAATCAGATGTGTTTATGCTGAAATGAAAATTGAACAAGCTGAAATGATCATCAATAATTTGATTGAAAAATTTGCTGAACCATCTGATATGTATACCTCTGTAGAGAATCTTCCTAATGATAATTTATTATTTTGTAATATTCATAATAATAATAATACTAATAATAGTAATGGTGACAATAAAAAGTCATTGCCAAATGAAAAATCATTATCTAATCCTTCTCATACATCAGTATCATTATTTTCACCTATTTTTAAATTACTTTTAACTCAATCAGAATCGCAGATATTTCCTGATTTGTATAAATTAAGTCCTTCAGGACGTAAATTATTGGATTTATGTCATCGACTTGCATTTGATATTAGACGAACTAAAAATAAGGTAAGTATTTCCTTTTTTTGTTGTTGTACATTTACTGATTTGTACTCGCTTTGGCGGTACATATGCTAAAATTGGAACATTTACTCATTTATACAGCCATTGAGTTTTCTTTTAAAGTTTCATTATTTGTTTAGCCATCTTATCTGGAATACATTTTATCTTGATATACACAGAACAATGCATTTAAGTAATTGATATTAACTATTTCCTTAAATAATTGATATAAAGAATTGTAAGTAGGTGAGAGAAAGGCGTTTTTTTGAAATGAAAATTCAATTATACTATACCGTAAATTATAAGCAAAGATGGATAGTGGCTAGAAGTGGAATCCATGACGCACCTTTCGTCCCATTTGGGACTTGTCAACCGGATGTACCTGCACCTCAGAGTTGATGATCACTCTGGGACTCGAACCCAGTATCTTTCGCTTCAAACGCCATCGCGTTCTTCACTCAGCTACTGAGTCCCGATATCCACCTGCATGTGCAATGGGGTGAAGTTTGAGTTCACTTGGTATTGTTTGTTTGAATCTTCCGATTGATGTTTACGACTACCATTGGTCAGTCTCTTATTGACATATATGCATACTGTGCGTACTGCCTCAATATATACGCACAGTATGCATATATGCCAATATGAAACTGGCCAATAGCAGTCCTAAACATCAATGGGAAGATTCAACCAAACAATACCAAGTGAATTTATATTGTACATTGATTAGAAAATGTATTTCCCTCCCCCATGAAAAAAATTATAATTTTCAAGATATTTTAGAACAACTGATTGATTCCCAGTATTATTTACACTATTATCATTATATTCGTTTAGTCTAGTCAAAAGTTTCCAGATTCTTCATTCTGGTTCCTTTTAATATGGATTTTCCATCTTAACAAAGGAATCAAATAATGATTTTTATCCTATTCAAAGCTGTGATAACAATGAAATCATGTATTAGATCGGAGTTTATATTTTTTTATAGAATAGGCAATAGTAAATCAATGATACACATAGATATTGTAAGGCTTTATAACGGAAATAGTACTCAGTATAGGGTTGTCGAAATGATTTGATTTGTTGTTATCGTGAACCAATATAAGTTGGATAACCATTGAGTACCTAGAAGCACTGGACGATCATCCTGATAGATGATTAAATTTGAGGTTAAAAAAGTTATTAGATTAACGTAAGCGAACTTCAGTACTAGGAAAACTTAAAAGTATTCATGAATTTCTATGCTTTTTTTGTTTTATCGTAAACTTCTATTGTTTTCTTATTTGAGAATCGGTTCACTGACAACTTTCTTACATCTAAGTACAAAGTACTATTGTTGTACGCATAATAAATTTAGCTAGTCAGTGAAATAGGCACTTTGCTCATAGTGTGGTGTAGGCTACTTATGTCGACAGATATAAGTAGTATGTAACACCAATCAAAAGTTGAATGCCTATTAAAAGAAGGTTGATAAGATTTCACTGAAGAAAACAGAAAAGGAAACAAATGAATCGGGGAATGGGAAAATCATGAAGGATGTAACGGACGACGGATGGAAAACTTTCAAATGAAATATTTAATGTATAGTTTCGCCTTTTACAAAAGAACTCCGTAATTTTGCATTAAACAATAAATTGGTTTACCCTACCTGAGTTCTCGTTTGCCAAAATAGTCTAAAGGTTAACATTGCTGGAGTGAATTTTATTTTTTGTTACGTCAATCAACCTCTTTTTAATGTGTTCTAGTGATGCTCTTCATACTACAACATATAGATTTTATTTTGATAAACATTAGTAATGAGTTCACATAAAATCAATGTAGACTTTAATTGTTCTACTGATAATCTGGGTACTTACTTACTTATTTTCGCCTGTTACTCACAATGGAGCATAAGCCGCCGACCAGCCTTCTCCAACCCACTCTGTCCTGGGCCTTCTTTTCTAGTTCTTTCCAGTTCTTGTTCATTCTTCTCATGTCTGTCTCTATTTCTCGGCGTAATGTGTTCTTTGATCTTCCTCTTCTCCTTTGACCTTCAGGATTCCATGTGACGGCTTGTCTAGTGACACAATTGGGTGATTTCCTCAAAGTGTGCCCAATCCACTTCCAGCGCTTCCTCCTGATTTCTTCCTCTGCTGGATGGAATCTGGTTTGTTGTCTCCCACAATAGAATGTTGCTGATAGTGTCTGGCCATCGGATCCGAAGTATCTTGCGTAGACAACTGTTAATAAACACCTGTATGTTCTTAATGATGGCTTTCGTAGTTCTCCATGTCTCCGCCCCATACAGTAGAACTTTCTTGACATTTGTATTGAAAATTCTGATCTTGGTGTTGGTCGACAATTGTTTTGAGCTCCAGATGTTTTTCAGCTGTAGGTATGCTGCTCTTGCTTTGCCGATCCTCGCCCTCACATCTGCATCTGATCCACCGTGTTCATCAATGATGCTGCCCAGATATGTAAAGGTTTCCACAACCTCCAAAGCTTCTCCATCAAGTGTAATTTGATTGGTGCATATTGTATTGTATCGGAGAGTCTTGCTTTTCTCTTTGTTTATATTGAGACCTACTGCTGCTGAGGCTGCTGCTACACTGGTCGTTTTTTCCTGCATTTGTTGTTGCGTTTGTGATAGAAGAGCCTGATCATCTGCGAAGTCTAAATCGTCAAGCTGCATCCTGCCTGTCCACTGTATCCCCTGCATTCCTCCAGATGTTGACGTCTTCATGATCCAGTCGATGACCAGGAGAAAGAGAAAGGGTGAGAGTAAGCAACCTTGCCTAACACCAGTCTTTACTTCAAACGAGTCGGTGAACTGACCTCCGTGGATGATTTGGCAGTTTAGTCCATCATTGGAGTTCCGTGTGATATTTACTATCCTCTCAGGCACGCAGTAGTGTCGAAGAAGCTTCCATAGTGTCGTCCTGTCCACGCTATCAAATGCCTTCTCGTAGTCGATGAAGTTGATGTAGAGTGATGAAGTCCATTCGATTGATTGTTCCACAATGATACGTAGAGTTGCGATTTGATCTGTACACGATCTATCCTTACGAAATCCAGCTTGTTGGTCTCGGAGTTGGGCTTTCACGGAATCCTTCATCCTGTTTAACAATACTCTGTTGAAGACTTTTCCTGGTATTGAGAGGGGAGTGATGCCCCTGTAGTTGTCGCACTTGCTAAGATCGCCTTTCTTTAGTATCTTGATCAGAAGTCCTTTTTTCCAGTCTATTGGTACTTGTTCTTCATCACAAATCTTACTGAAGAGGATGTGGAGTATCTTGGCAGTTGCTGCTACATTTGCTTTCAGTGCCTCTGCCGGGATGTTGTCTGGTCCCGCTGCTTTGCCGCTCTTGATTTGTCTAATGGCCATGCTGATCTCTTCAATTGTTGGTGGGCCAACATCGATTGGGAAGTCTGTGGGTGCTGCTTCGATGTTGGGTGGGTTCAGTGGAGCTGGTCGATTTAAGAGTTCTTTGAAGTGTTCTACCCACCTGTTCTTCAATGTCGGTGATTACTTTGCCTTCCTTGCTTTTCACTGGTCTTTCTGGTTGACGGTAATTTCCAGCAAGTTTCTTTGTTGTATCATACAGTTGTTTCATGTTTCCCTCTCTTGCAGCCTTTTCCGCTGTCATCGCTAAATCTTCCACATATTTACGTTTGTCGGTTCTGATGCTCCTCTTTACTTGCTTGTTTGCCTCTGTGTATTCGGCTTGTGCCTTGGCTTTTTCCGCTCTTGTTCGGCTGATATTGATTGCTACCTTCTTGTTCCTCCTTGCTTCAATCTTATCCAGTGTACCAACAGTGATCCATTCCTTGTGATGGTGCTTCTTTTGGCCCAGAACCTCTTGACACGTTGAAACGATTGCCTCCTTGATACCTTTCCAGTTGCTCTCCATGGTAGTCCCCTCTCCATTGAGTAGATCATGAAAGACCTGGAACCTGTTGCTGAGCGCTATGTTGAATTTGTTGAGTTTGTCTGCATTTCGAAGAAAGGCCGTATTAAACTTTTGTGATGTTATCCGCACCGTTGTCCAGTGCTTCTTGAGTTTTAGTTTCATCTTGGCGACCAGCAAATGATGATCGGATGCTATATCAGCTACTCTTCTGGTTCTCACATCCTCCATCGTCCTCCTGAACTTTTTGTTGATGCAGATATGGTCGATTTGATTCTGTGTAGTGTGGTCCGGTGAAATCCAAGTGGCTTTGTGTATGTTTTTGTGTGGGAATATGGTGCCACCTATGACCAGTTTATTGAAAGCACATAGGTTTGCAAATCTCTCACCATTTTTGTTCCATCCTCCCAGTCCATGTTGTCCCATGACGTCTTCGTATCCAGTGCTGTCCTTTCCAACTTTAGCATTGAAATCCCCCATCAGAATGGTCAGGTCCTTGGTTGGGCACTTCTCGAAGATTGACTGCAGCCTATCGTAGAATTGGTCTTTAGCGTCTTCATCGTAGTCGTTGGTAGGCGCATAGCATTGGATGACGTTCATTGTAATGCCCTCTCTCTTTGTTTTGAAGGAGGCTTTGATAATCTTTGGTCCATGAGATTCCTATTCAATAACTGCATTTCGTGCTTTTCTGGACAGCATCAATGCAACTCCTTGTGTATGTGGGGCATTTTCTTCTTCATGACCGGAGTATAACAGAAGTTCTCCTGAAGACAGTCGTTGTTATCCAACCTGTGTCCAATGTGTTTCGCTGATTCCAAGCACCTCCAGGTTGTATTTTCTCATTTCTGCAGCAATTTGGAAAACTCTTCCGGTCTCCCACATTGTCCGGACGTTCCATGTACCTATAAAAATTGTCGCTCTGGTTGTGCATCGGCCTCATGACTTCCGAAGGAACTCTGCTTTCATCATGAGATATCATAATTATTCCTTCTACTCCCAGGGCAGAGTTTGAATGGTTTGAATGATTTTTTCTGGTTAGCGTTTTTTTAGCGAGTTGATTTTCTACGGGATGGAGTCGTTAACCCCATGCCCAACCCTCCTCCTTTACCCGGGCTTGGGACC